GGGGGGGGGGGGGGGGGGGGGGGGGAGAAAACATTTGGAAGAGGCCAAATAGCCCTGTAGATATTTCAATTCATTGGGGGGCTTCTGATTACCCCTCGAAGATCAGGACTTGTGACTTGGCAAGGTTGATGAGCGAGCCGCTACCCCAGGCTTGGGTGCGTGGCGGTGAATGAAGCTATTTTTAAAGCTAGGTTTAGGTTGCCTATCCATTCATTCTTCTACTTCGTTTTGAGTTCCTATGGTCTAGCTCCGACCTAATCGAACCCAAATTTATGGAGCCAAATGGTGGGATCATGGATGTTATGGCGAGAAGTCTCTTACGGGATGGAGATGACATTTTATGTTTTCCAAACCCTTTATCCCCAAAGTAACCACGTAGGGAGGAGTGATAAGATGAAGGGGTGGTACTCCCTGAAGACATAGGGGGCTTATACTCCATTCATGGTTGATCTGTTGACTTCAATAAAGGATTGGAAAAGCTCATGGTGTTAGGTTTCTAGAAGGTGGGATACAATGGAGGGTGACTCCTTGGCGCATCTGATGGTTCCAATGAAGTTCTCAACATTTATTGAGTACCTTAGGAATTGGTTTTATGTTTAATATGTTCTATTCGTCCTCTAACTATTGTATTTGTGCGGGTGCGTTGCCTCGGTGCAAGCTGCCGACAGAGGACTTCGACACCATTTGCATCATTTATCAGCTTTTTGTACAAGAGATGATTCTAAGACGAGCTCATAAAAAGAATAAACACTTCGTCAACAACGGTTTAATGGCCCCCCAAGGTAAATTCAAACCGCTAATTCTTGGTTTGAGTTCATTAGATTGAAATCCTAACACTTGCGCTCTTTTGCATATCATTTCCTAAATAAGAGGGCCTTGAAGTCAGATTTCGCCACTATTCAATGGCTGATTGCCAATGCAAGGGCTTTGAAGACCTCGTTGGATACTTATAAAAAGCAAACCTAGGACCTGGTGAGCGCTAGAAAAAACCTCCCTCCTACGGGTGAAGGGGAGGGAAATGAGGAGCCTTTGGTGAAGAAAGGGAAAATAGCGATTGGGTCGTCCTCTTTGGGGCACACTATGGCAAGACATCAGTCCAATATCCAAACTGGAATAATAATAAAGAAGAAAACCACACCTCCAACAAAGGTCAAGGTAACTATTGTCCCCAGGCCACTACTTTTGAAGCTCTAAAGGAGGTTCTGGCGTCCGATCCTTGGAGGAGGACAGACCACACTCGAATAAGGAGGTGTTGGAGATGTTACCTCCTTGAAACAGCCTTAGTTGCCCGGGTCCACAATAAGTATTGGACCAACGCATGGAGGGACCACACCTTTTCTTATGTAGCTGAAGACCTGGTGGTGGCTGACGGTGCCTACATTGATAGGGCCCTTAAGTACTAGCATCCAGCTCAAAGCCTAGTGAAAGATTTTTGGGCCAAGAATGTTGATCTCGCCTAAAGGATGGAAAGAGCCTCGCACTACGGTGATGTAATAATTGTGGAGAGGGCCAAGGTAGAAAAGGCTGAGATGAAGAGAGATGAGGTCGAGAGCAAGTTGGAAAAGGTCAAGGCTGTGGCAGAGCAGCTGAAAAAAAAGTAGTGTTGACTACACTAATGAGCACCATCACCTAGTAGTGGAGGCTTTGGAGTCCTCAAACAAAGAAAAGGTTTGAGGCAACTATTGGAGGCCCAAGCAGAGGAGTTTGGGTCCTTGAAGGCCGAGGCAAAGGCTGTTGGAGAAGTGGCGGTCCAGAACTTTATTGACAACTTTGAGAAGACCGAGCTTTACAACACCTTTGCCAACTATTGGGTTTCTTGGAATGTCCAATTGTTAAGGTTGGTCCACCCAGACCTGGATATATTGACCTTAGAAGAGGAGTTTGAGGGACCTACCAGGGGTTACCTCGACATCCATGCTGCAGATAAAGCTCAAGTGGCTCCAAACACCGAGGCTGTTGTTGCCATTTTGGCCAGTAGATCCTTAGGCTTTTTCACTTCTCGTTGTAAGGGCTTTGACCCCCTTGTACATCGTTATTAATGTAATCATTTTCATTTTCTTGCTTCCAACCGTGAGTACCTCTTCCAAGTAACAACAAACATTTATGCTTTGTTCTTACATTTTTTTCCAAGTATGAACGCTTCTTCAAATGGTGATTTGACCTAGCTGTCTATTAATAACTCATATAGTCTATGCTTCAGCTCATAATAATTAACTCTCCAAGTATTTACTACGTTCTTCACAAAGGGTTATGTCCGAGGTGAACTATCCATTTTTGAGGCGCCACTTCCGACAGTGTATTGAGAC